AATATTTTGAATTACTTTTATTTTTATATATTCAGTTTTCATCATTTAAGTTTTACTACTTATGTGCTTTTGTTATTTAATTCGGTGCTAATAGTGGGCAGTTCATTTTTAGTAAATGCTGAAGTGTCTGCTCAGTCACACATGCACACACTCCACGCATGCTGCGGGACATTCGGTGACCTTTCTTGTCGTGTATGAGTGGCCCAAAATGCGCCACAGTTAATGACTGGCTCATTTACACTGTCTCTGTTTTAATGAAGTATTAACATGCGCTCTGAGAGTAATTACAGGTCCGTTCCCGTCGGGCTTGTCAGACTGCACCAGGGAGTATATTAAGGAAGGGTCAACTGTTCACACACTCTAATATGCTAATCAATATGAGTCCATTTACAATAAAGGTTTATTTGCAAAGCCATAGGATCAGCAGGATTATGATTTGTCGGCAGCATTACTCTGATGTTTTTTTTTAGTTTTTTTCTACGCCAGCAACAGATTGTAGCTTGCGGCTTCTAATATATTAAATATGTCTCAAAAATTGCTCTTTTTAATTAAGTTTAAAGATTGACACTTTGCAGTGAGTGTGAGAGTTTTAAATAAAAGGTTTTAGTGCTGGATGTGGTATATTTACATATTTTGCGTGATTTTGTTGTTATAGGTTTTTTTTTTTTAATGGAATTAGCCTTGCATCTCTCGCCAGGACTATATGTGACTCTGGACCACAAAACCAGTCATAAGGGTCAATTTTTGAAATTGAGATTTATACACACAGAAAGCTGAATAAATAAGCTTTCCATTGATGTATGGTTTGTTAGATTAGGACAATATTTGGCAGAGATACAACTATTTGAAAATCTGGAATCTGAGGGTGCAAAAAAATAAAAATACTGAGAAAATCGCCTTTTAAAATTGTCCAAATGAAGTTCTTAGAAATGCATATTACTAATCAAAAATTAAGTTTTTATATATTTATCGTAAGAAATTTACGAAATATCTTCATGGAACATGATCTTTACTTAAAATCCTAATGATTTTTGGCATAAAAGAAAAATCAATAATTTTGACCCATACAATGTTTTTTTGGGCTATTGCTAAAAATATACCCAAGCGACTTAAAGCCACAATATGTAATTTTCGCCGCTGGAGGATGCGTATTCAAAATAAACAAATAGACAAAGTAGTTTGATGACAGCCGATGCAATTCGACGGGACTCGGGCAGAAATCATGTTCATGGATGAGCTAATGATTTATTAACATAGTAGAATGAAGCAGGGTGAGGCTGAAAGCCGTCGAAGCGAAACGAGGCCACTGAACGAGTGTGAAACACGGCTCGAAAGCAGCAGAGCTTTTATTATGCCACAGTCGACCGCTTCCGCTCCTTCCGGTCGTGCGTATGTGGGGTAAAGCAGCGCTGTTTTATCATATTAGATACATTTGAAAGTTCTGTTATAATGCTACTCTGTGCAGTCGTCACCGGTCTATTAAAATGCACAACATATTAAAGCGTCTTTGGTGTTTCCACGTTTTCTACAAAACAAAACCGGAAATCGAGGGGTTATGACATCATTGGCAGGCGACACAATGGCACTATGGACACGGTCCGTGTCACTAGTTAAAATTGCTTATTTCTCTGGATTTAAACATTCTTCGAAACATTTGGGATAATGTAAGTACACAAGTCAGCAAAATATATAACACTGTTCTAGTGGTTTTTGGATATTTTAATAAAAAAATCTTACATATTGTGCCTTTAAGGCTGGTTTTGTGGTCCAGGGTCACATATGAGCATGTTTTGATGTTGATTTGCAACATTGTGTTATCATCAGAGCAGAAGGCAGGCCTTTATTCAAATCAAAAGCTGACATGGTCATTCTTTAGTGAATCAGAGAGGCCGCTCCACCTCTAAAATAAGAAAAGAGGAGCTTCTGTTATCTACAAGAAGATTCAGCGGTCTCTTTCCCTCGGGGTTCCTCTGAAACAAACTGTCTCCTGAAGCTCTGCAGTGCATTTTTGTCTCTGCGCTCCCATGACACTGCGCTCCCTTCCTTTTCTTCCTGTCCTCTCGGCAGAGGCTTTAATCCTATGCGGTGTGCGCTACCACTGGCCCGGGTGGCTGTCCTCATCTGGCTTTGTGTTTGTAATGAGAGGGCAGGATTGTGTTGTCTTTGATCTGAGGTGCTTCGGTCTTACTGCATACTACCTCATGTAAGGCTGGGGATTTGCTATTGTGTGTGTCCGGATCATTTGCGCGCCTTCCCTGACCCCTCTTCCACACATGGCTTCAACACGCTTCCTGCTCTTATACTATTCATTGTTCTTTTTCGGCCTCATCTCTTCTTTTTTTTTGCTCTTATTTAGTCTCACCTCATCTCATTCTCTTCTTTGTCTTCTAGTCTTTGCTAGTCCTTTGTCTTCTCATAGAGTCCTTTTTCACAAGTTACATTTTATCTCATGTCTCTTCTTGTCTCAACTCTTGTATCTTGTCTACTATAAATAAGACTAGATACGAGAGTCGAGACAAGAAGATCGTTCTGTCACAACTTCTTTTCTAGTCTGTGCTCCTGTTGTCTCTTCTCTTCTCATGCTGTTTTCTCTACTTTTTCTTCTAGTCACATCTCATCCTGTCTTTTCTCATCTAGTGTCATCTATTTTCATCTTCTCTTCTAGTCTCCTCTTCTCTGTCTAATCCATTCATGTGTCTTTTCTCTTCTAGTCTCAACTCATCTTTTGTCTCTTCTCTCATGTCATTTCAGTTGATACTTATCTAGTTCTTATCTCATTTAATCTCTTCTCATGTAGTCTCCTCTCTGCTTTTTCATAGTCTGTTCATTCTGTCTCTTCTCATGCAGTCTCATTTCTCATGTTGTCTTTGCCATCTAGTCTCAGTTCATTCTGTTTCGTCTCTTCTAGTCTTGTCTAATCTAATTTCATCTCATCTCTTCTCATGTAGCCTGTTTCATTTAATCTTTTTCGTCTCAACTTATCTTACCTCTTACCATGTATTCTTCTCTCTTCTTCTTTGTTGTTTAGTCATCCATACTCTTCTCATCTAGTCTCACCTCATTTCTTCTCATCCTTTCTCATTTAGTCCTCTTTTCTCTGTCATCTAGTCTCAGTTCATTATCTCATCTCATCTAGTCTCATCTCGTCTCTTCCTATCTAGTCTTCTCTCTTCTTTGTCGTCTAGTCTCACTTCATCCATTCTCTTTTTATCTAGTTTCATCTCATACTTTCTTATTTAATCTTCTCTTCTCAGTTTTCTAGTCTCAGTTCATTCTTTTTCGTCTCCTGTCATCTGATTTCAACACATATCTTCCAATTTAGTCTCATCTCTTATTCTTTGTGGTCTATTCTCAGTTCCTCCATTCTTTTCTCATCTCATGTCATCTTTTCTCATTTAGTCTTCTCTTCTCTTTGATCTAGTCTCAGTTCATTCTGTCTAGTCTCACCTCATCTCTTCCCATGTATTCTTCTTTCTTCTTTGTCATCCTAGTCTCACTTCATCCTTCTCTTCTCATCTAGTCTCATCTTTTCTCATTTATGGCTCGTTTCCACCGAACGGTACGGTTCAGTACAGTACAGTACAGTACAGTACAATTCGGGGACGGAACACCCTAATCTGGATTGTGTTTCAACTGCCAACAGTACCCTTACTTGATAGGCTTATTGTATGCCGGTAAGTAGCGATTGACGTGTGTATGTTTGTGAAAATATAAAATCATAAAATACACTGTTATATGTTTGCGCACTCTGATGTAAACAAGCCCGACACACATGAGCAGCATGGCGAAACAAGTGAAGGAGACACTTTATTCCCCTTGTGTTGTCATTCCCCTTGTAGCATGCACAAGTGGCGATTCTCTGTCAACCAATCAGCATTCTGCAGTGAGTCTATGTGACAAGTGGGGGTGGGGCCGAGAGCCGTGGGAACGGAGCAAGTCCGGTGGAGTAAGTGATAATGCACAACACCTTGCCACTCACCGGTCTTGAGCTCCGGAAGGATAAAAGGAGGAGTGACAACAGTGCAACACGAGAGAGGACCAGGCCTGGACCTTATTTTGTGTTTTGTGTGCGGCAGTCGTCTGCGAGGGGCTGACGCTTTACTTTCATTTTGTGTTGGTTTATTTTATTAAAGTGTTTGAATGTTCTCCGGTTCCCGCCTCCACCCTTTAGGTACCGGACTACTGTGCTAGGTACCCCAATGGAAGGGTCCAAAAAAAGTGGTACGGTACAGTTCGCTATTTTGGTACCATTCACAACTTCTGACAATGGAAATGGAAATAAATGTGTACCAAACTGTACTTTACTGAACCGTACCACTCGGTGGAAACGAGCCATTAATTCTCAATTTATCTCATTATTTTTCAGCCTGTCATATGTAGTGTCATCTCATTTTATCTTGTTATTTCTCATTCAATTTTCACTTCTCCGAGAAGGGTCTCACTTTATCATGTCTCTTCTCATTATGTCTTTTCTTGTCTCGTTTCTTCTCCCCTTGTCTCTTTTATCTTCTCTTCTCATGTCGTCTCATATTATCTGTCATGGGTCCAGCACTATAACTCCTCTTCCTCTTCACATCATCAGTGTCCCCTGAGCCAGTGACGGTGACAGAGTCATAGACTGTAATAGTGTCAGCAGGAACTGCAGGGACATCTCTATTAACCTTCAGTAGATGTACTGCATGTGCCGGGACGCAGACTGACAACACTGTGGACCTTTTTTCACCGGCTTTCGCATGATCTCCAAAGTGCTCCTCATTGGATCTGAAGAACAATAGCTGCTGGGATTTGCTCTCCTAAGCATTAACTTTTGCTGAATTGAATTACTTGGCCCAGGAATTGGCAGAATTACCTCAGTGCTTGTTAATGAGCCTGACGATATTGTTTTACTTCCTATGGGCATCATTAGGTTGTTTAGATTCGACAAGGGACCTGAGCTTGGCATCTTGATAAGAAGCACTCATATTGGTGAATTAACTCGAACGTTTTCTCTTCCCTTGCAGGAATTCTCTCTGCTACGATTGGACGATTTAGCTGATCAACGAGTCAACATCGTCGGGTTTTCAGTCTTCAACAGAACACATCCTTTCTTTCAGGACTTCGTCCTCAGCCTCAATCGATCCTGGCAGGAGAATTGTGATCATGCTCCTTTTGCAGGAACACCAGTAAGGCTGAGAAACTCTTAGTTAAAGTTGTGTTGAATATGCATGATTGAATCAATGTTAAAGAGACTGTTCACCCAAAAATGAAATTATATACTCTATTTCTTTCATGAAACAAAAAAGGAGATTTTAGGCAGAATGTCCAAGCAGCCTATTTCCATATCATGTTTTGTCCTTACTAACTCCAAAAAGGACTAAATAAAACCTCATAAAAGTAGCCATATGTTCACTGTAGGTTACATGTATGATACTTTTTTGCTTATTTTAGAGCTTGACATCATAAATTCACTTTAATTTTATGGACAAGAGCAACTTGGACCTCCATCCTAACATCTTATTTGAGCTTTTACTATGACAAATAAGAGGTGTAACAACATGAGGGTGTCTAAATGATGACAAAATTGTAATTTTTGGGCGAACTATGCTAAAAAAAATGTTTATGTCTAGTCCATGTTCCGAAATAAGTCATTTATTTGTAACTCAAGGATGCTGAGTTAGTTCATTTGGAACAGCCTACTAGCCATGTCCCCTTGCTTACCTTGAAGTCGAGGCTATGGCTGTATAATTCATCACAAAAAGTCACATGCTTACCCTGAGGAATACACACACCCTGCATGTTCACATCAGCACAGTTATTTCCATCACTTTGGAAATGAAAACATCTGTATAATGTATTATTCCTGATCTCAGTCCCAGTCTGTACTCAATCAAACACCCAAGGAAGCTAAAAAAGAAAAAAAGAAAAACCGATCAAAGATCGGGTGGCAATGCACTTCTTAATCTGATAAATGCAAGTAAGTCATAATAATTACTTTTACATTTTTGTATTCTAATTAAAGCTGAACGGGTAAGACTTTTGAAAAATAAATGCCTTCTGTTTTTAGAAACTAGCCCTGGTTGCATTTCTCATTTAATTAGGTATAATCTTTAATTAATCAGAGGATGGTTTGTAGTCTGGCAGACAGATGAGAAAGATAACAGGTCTAAACCCCACAGTGAGGCTCAGCTCTGTGTTACACACTGGCCTAGAAATGCAAGGCCTTTAAAACTAGCTTAGCCCAATGTGTTTGATATGGGAGACACTAACTGAACAGATATTTAAGCCCCGGACTTCATTAGCTAAAGACTAGACTGGCTAGTCTGTGCAGAGATTAACCAGCGAACCTGCATATCTGCCTTAGTCGGCAGCGCACACACATTGTCATCTACATTTGCCTAATGAGAGCAGCCAGGATGTTTCCCTGAATGTGACCAGAATAGTTAGACTGTGTGTGTGTGTGTGTGTGTGTGTGTGTGTGTGTGTGTCTGTTTTTCTATTCTGGTGGGGAATTAAACCTGAATACGCACAGACTCATGGGCACTCAAGTTTTTTGAAAATCTAAAAATGCTGAAAGTTTCCTGTAAGGGATAGGTTTAGGTGTAGGGTTGGTGTAGGGCAATAGAATATATGGTCTGTACAGTAGAAAAACCATTATGCCTATGGAGAATCCCCACAAGGACATGTGTGTCACACACACACATCTCCACCTCCTCTAAGCTGCTGTGTTGTTCCATAATGCATCATAACATATCCTCATTACAGAAAGCTTTAGCACCGTAATGGATGTCAGAGGAAAAGGAAACTCCACAGCCTTTGCTGCAGTGCATTAACACGCCATCTGATGTAATTAAAGTGGTCAGTAATTCAGTTCCAGGCGGCTGTGGGGGCAAAGGAATTGGTGGTTGTATCACAATGATCAACGATGAAATGTCTGAATGATTTAATGATGTTCTACATGGCCAAATGCATGCAGACACCCAAACACCTCTATCCATGTGCTTTTTTGAGCATTTAATTTTACAACCGCAGAGGTATATATATATAATAGTATATACTGTATACAATATAATAAGATTATATTATACAAATATTTATATTTCCAAAAAATTGTCCCAAAAAGTATTTTGGTTTCCATAAAGTATTAAGCAGCAAAATTGTTTTCAACAGTAATAATTAGAAATTATTCTAGAGCACCAATTAGAATTACCCGCATATTTGAATCCAAAAGGATGATGTGAAACTGAAGACTGCCATCACAGGAATTAATTACATTTTTAAATGTTTTAAAATAGAAAACATTATTTTTATGTTTTCACAGTTTTCCAATTATTTTAAATTGGAATAATATTTCACAACATTACTGTTTTTACTGTATTTGTTTTATCAAATAAACGCAGCCTTGATGAGCATAAGAGACTTAAAAAACATTTAAGAAAATCTTAGCCACCCCAACTTTATGAATGGTTTTAGATTAAATATTACAGACTTTACAGACTAATTTAAAACATTTAATTAAAAACAGATGTATGGTCTGTGGTATTTTTGGTATATTTTCTAGCGAGTTCATGGGTTTTATTTACTTACAGCTACAGGTGCATCTCAGTAAATTAGAATGTCGTGGAAAAGTTCATTTATTTCAGTAATTCAACTCAAATTGTGAAACTCATGTATTAAATAAATTCAATGCACACAGACTGAAGTAGTTTAAGTCTTTGGTTCTTTTAATTGTGATGATTTTGGCTCACATTTAACAAAAACCCACCAATTCACTATCTCAACAAATTAGAATATGGTGACATGCCAATCAGCTAATCAACTCAAAACACCTGCAAAGGTTTCCTGAGCCTTCAAAATAGTCTCTCAGTTTGGTTCACTAGGCTACACAATCATGGGGAAGTGTAGCCTAGTGCTGATCTGACAGTTGTCCAGAAGACAATCATTGACACCCTTCACAAGGAGGGTAAGCCACAAACATTCATTGCCAAAGAAGCTGGCTGTTCACAGAGTGCTGAATCCAAGCATGTTAACAGAAAGTTGAGTGGAAGGAAAAAGTGTGGAAGAAAAAGATGCACAACCAACCGAGAGAACCGCAGCCTTATTTGAGGAACCAAAGACTTAAACTACTTCAGTCTGTGTGCATTGAATTTATTTACTACACGAGTTTCACAATTTGAGTTGAATTACTGAAATAAATGAACTTTTCCACGACATTCTAATTTATTGAGATGCACCTGTATACATTTTTGCCAGTAAATTCCTTTATATAAAAGCATCTGCCAAATGCATATTTATTTGTATGGCTGAATAGCCAAACATGCTAATCAAAAACTTGTCAACATACTTTTGGCCATGAAGTGTGTATCTGTCTCAGCTAGCGGCCTACAGTTGGGTTGTACTGCTTTCTGTCTGCATGGTCTATGTGTTGACTCTTATGTGTGTGTGTTCCAGCTTTCATCAGCGCTGCTGTTTGATGCAGTACACACGGTGGTGGCAGCTGTGCAGGAGCTGAACCGTAGCCAGAACGTAGGAGCCACTCAGCTCTCCTGCAAGTCTTCTAAGATCTGGGAGCACGGCACAAGTCTGATGAACTACCTGAGGATGGTAAGAACCGCATGGAGAGCCCACAAACTGCCAGTCATCTTGCCTGCTGCCCTTGCAGGCTCATTCATCATTTAGTTTTTGCTCTCTGTACCACTGCGGCCCACAAACCTTCATCAGAACTGCAGCCTTCAGCAAAATCTGTGAAACCGAGACACTGTATCTTACTCAGCCATTAAAGATTAACGACCATCAGCTTGTCATTACTGCTTCATCCTATGCATGACATACGGCGATCTATAGCCGCTTCCTGCATTGTGTGAATGCATCCAGTGAGGAGCTCTGCCGTCCACATAGCTCTATAAATCAATACAGCACTGAAAGCTTGTGTGGCTGTGATCGCATGATACCTCCAGGCGGTAACATGTGTCTCTCTCTCTCTCCGGATAGGTAGAGTTGGAAGGTCTAACTGGCCACATTGAGTTCAACAGCAAAGGCCAGCGCTCGAACTATGCCCTCCGGATCATGCAGAACAGCAGGGATGGCCTAAGGCAGGTAAAGTAACTCTCGGCCACACCAGCCTATCAGCCAGTAAAACTTGCCATTATCTGAGTTTATGCTTCTGTCTGCCAGGAACACAATGAGATTTCCTGACCGCGGTCGCACAGATGTGATGTAAAGTTGGAGAAATCCTCTAAAAGCACAGAATGCCTCAATCAGAATGCTTAATCGGAAACGTGTAGAAAGAAAACTCAGATTTTACTCAGTCTAGCTTTTTGCAGCATTCACCCCTTTCTAGCGTTTGACACGTGTCAAGCACCCCCACCACCTTACTCCATTAAACACCACATTTCTTAAACGTCACATAACTGCAATAATACAAATATTCACAGTATACAGGGCTTGAGATTCACTTTTTTGCTCACCAGCCACTGTGGCTAGTGGTTTTCCAAAATTACTAGCCACTCAGCAATTTCACTGGCCACAATTTTGTTGTTGGTTTACGTTTTATATGACTAAAGTTACTGCTTACTAAAATTTATTTAAATTGATTTCCAGGTTTTTAGTTTGTTTTTTTTTGTTGCCTGTTTAAAGTGCATTTTTCCCTTTTGTAAATATAAGTCAAATATATTTCACGAATAGGGCTATTTATTCATTTTATATATGTGGTTTTATTCCGTTTTTCCCGATTCATTGAATTTTTTATATTTATGTTATTTTATTTCTTTAGTAGCTTTAGTTCAGTTAACAGAAATGTTTTTAATAGTTTAGTTAACTTTAATAATGGCAAAACATCCATAGAGCTGCAGTACACTTTCAATTTTCCAGCTGTTTCAAGCCACAAATATTTACAAATATTCACAAATTATATAATGCTGGTCTGGGACAAAATTTCTGCCAGGCCGGGAGTCTCATCCAAGCCACCATAATTTACATTACTTTAAGAATAATGACAGAAATGTTGTCAAAGTGAGAACAATGTAGAACAATGTGCCTATCTCTTTTGTGTAAATTACTTTTTTTATCTGTTTTATTTTGATAAACACGATACAATACACTATAGCATTAATATAACATGAAAAGAGTTTGTAAAACTATTATAGCACGACATGAAATGTGAGTCTGGTTAATTGTGAATTAGCTGTCATCATCAGAGCTTGTGCAGCTGCCCTGGAGAAACTGCGGTGACCGTAATCAGCCGTCTGCTTGCGAATCGCTCTTGCAGTAGCCTACTTTGATGGCATACACTGCTTCAAGTCAGATGCTGATCGATGTGCGTGAATCGAACACAACTTTATGCGCTCAGACGGTGCGCCTATGCTCCTCCAATTAATTATCCATTATCGGATTTAATAATTAACGTTCATTAAGAAAACTGGCATGCCCTCCTTTGCCCTCCTTTGTTTAATGAAGCTGAAATGTAGCATGAATGCATTTACACTGCAAAATTACAACAGCATAAATAATTTTATGAGCTTGGTGTTTTAAATCAGTTTTTTTTAGAAAAATAGAAATATGAAATGTTGAGAAAAAATGGAAAGATAATCACACAGATCATCAAAATCATTCTCTCGCGCACCCCAGTTTGGGAAACGCTGGGCTAAACCAATTGTGATGGAATTATTGTTAATTAGCACTTTCACGCTTTTGTGATTTTTTATTGGCAGTTTTGAATGTAGATTGAATTGTTATTGCGACATGAGAATAAAAAATTACTCATAGTGTTGTAATAGAATACAAATTTCTATCCGTTTTCACACACCAGCACCTCTGAAGTTAAGTGAGTTTTCTTGCTTTGCCCCGAGCTGCATCCAACAGCATAGTATGAGCACTTTCCAACTTAAAACAGCCATTTAGGATAAACCAAGTTGACGGCTGACTGTTGTTAGCGTCGGATGTTTCTGTATATGACGGCGAGAGAGAGCAGAAGGGTAGCACTATCAAACAGTAGCCTGGTTTCTGAGTGACACCGCATTTCTACAGTCTTTGTGACCGTCACCTTGTGTCACTCACTTACACTTTTTTTTTATTGCTCTTTTAACCTTTTGAAAGACTGTCAACTTTCTCCGTCGACTGCTGCTGTATTGCGAGCTCTGTGATTTGTGATGGACAGTCGAAGGCCACTTTGTTCACAATTCCAGTCATAACAGCAGAGATTGGACTGGCAGCTGGTGCTCGCGCCCAACCTTATTAGTTTCATAACGACGTCACTGTTTTTCTAGAGAGTAATATCCGGTGTCTCAATTTGATGTAATGCATCTGTCGCTTCCCTGGCCTGGCCCTTTCAGCGCTGCTGTGCGGTCCAGCTGGACAGCAAAGTTCATGCGATTGTCACCTTGCTGTCCTAACATAGCTCCCCTCTGCACATCATTTTCTGTATTCGTTGTGCACTTGTTGTTGTGAAAGACTGAAAATTCTGGTAGAGCTCACAGTGTCTCTTTCCCTTAATGATAGACATTCACCCAAAAATCCAAGCAGAGGCTATTTTCATTTAATGAGTATGAGTGTGAAAAATACAGCAGCTCTGTTTGGATGGAATACTGCTGTTCTACATAGTTCACACTTTATACTGCTTTTTTGTTAAACTGCGCATTATGCTATGATAGTAGAATGATACTGTGCTGTCACATGACCTTATTATGTGCATGTTTAATGCAGTGGTGCCAAGGGATAGTGCACCCACAAATTTAAACCTGTGTGACTTACTTTCTTCTGTGGAACATAGAAGAAGACATTTTGAAAAATGTCTTTGTGACGTTAATTGTATTAAAAAAAAGTAGACATTTACAATTACCATTTTTGGGTCAACTATACCTTTAAGGTTGTTGTATTCAGAAAAGGTTTCAGAAAATGCCTTCACTTTTGGAAGTTTGATAAAATAATTATGCATATACAACAAACATTAAAAATGACATTGATATTATTTCTCATTCATCCATCGCTCTGGAGATGGAAGGTCAAGTAAGTTGTATTGCATTATGGGATATAGTATTCTGTGCAGTGTGTGTTCTGTTGTATATTGCACATTTTGGCAAAAGTCATGTAAGTATTAAATTAGCATACTGCACACTGCATGAATAATAAGAGTAGTATGCTAGTATGCTATTCCAAGGATAAACAATAGCCAGGTACTTGGAATGGTTTTGCTTTAAGCCTATAAATCCAAAATTAAACATTTAAAATATAGTAGCACTGTCCAAAAATTTTAATAATTAAAAAAAATTTTTTTTTTTTTTTCATTTCAAATTAATAAATTCATTAATTCCCAACCTGTATAACTTTCATTCTTCTGCAGAACAGAAAATAAGATTTTTTTTTTTAAAGAATGTTTGTATCCAAAGAATTTTGGTAACAACTGACTTCTATTGTACTAAAAATTATTGTAAATTGCACTACTATTGGACTAAAAACACAGAGAAATCTTCAGAATATCTTCTATTATGTGCCACAGAAGAAAAAAAACAAGACCTGCAGACTTGGAATGATGTAAGGCTGAGTAATTTCACAAAATGTTAATTTTAGGGTGTACTATCACTTTAAGGAAAGAAGAACCATCAAATGTCTCAAACTAATAAAAACCTAAATCCTGCTTTAAAATATGCTTCTATAGTTTCTCAAGCAGCCTCCATTTTGATATTAACGAGAATGCTAAATTATATACAGTATAATATGGGTTATAAAAGTAACATTCCTGGTTTAGTTATGGGTTCTTGAGCTTTATTGAGGGAGCTGTGAATACCTAAGATGAAGACCTAAATGAAAAGTGAATGCTAACATCCATGAGACATTATTACGTTTGTTTTTGTGTGTGATTTATGCTGTCAATATACTGAGATATTTAAAGCTGAATGCTCCCTCAACGCTCTGTCTCAGATTAGCAGCTATTAGAGCTATACGGATGCCTTGGCAACAAGTCCTGAGTGAAGCTGCCAGGCTTTATACAAAGACATGTGCACACATCCACGAATGCACATGCTTTCTCTTTCCACATCATATACTGACAGATGTTTGAGGCTCATAGCCGTTTCGGAGGCTACATCAACACTCTACCTACTGGGAATCCATGAATCTTCCCAGAGATGCTGGACAAACGGCTAAAAGGAGAGCGAGACTGAAAGTAGTACAGCACTGAGAGCAGTGTTAAGTCTGGATTTATCCGTCATGTCCTGGAGCGCTTGGCAGAGCCGATCCTCCCCAGCAGGCATTGGACAGATTGGCCCACATGTGTACATACGGTTCCCTTCTGGAAGCTGGTATGGAGGAAGGGGAAGGGGGGAAGGGGGGGGGGGCATATGAGGCAGACCAGCACACACTATTGGCACTTCTAAATTGAATTTCTCTGGCAAGCATCTCACATAAGTGAACTGTACCACACTCAACCAGCACTGCGATTTCACATCAGTTTCGGCTGGAAAGATGTATATCAAATCCAGCTGGGATGACAAGATGGCTGAACCGTGTTTCATGCAGGTGTCATTAAACCAAGCGTGGTTCTAGAAGTATGCCAGTCCTATCCATGTGCCAGCTTAAGGTAGACTGGTTAATGAGAGCTTATGTAACATTTCAACACTGCTGAATATTTTACACACTGCCAACACTCTCCAAGATGTATTTGAGGAGGTTTTGGCACATGGATGGAATGTGATATGCTTCTAGGTTTTAAAAAATACTCCAAAACTAATTATTCAGCGATTTGGGCAATAACAACTCACAAAATTCATTTAATCGAGAGATCTGGCTTAAATATCAGTTTACAAGACTACATGGGGTCGTTATTTCATTCTATCTGTTGTTCTTTGTTTTTTGTTAATTCTATCTATCATTCAATTGTTCTATATGTTGTGGTATGGTTCTTTCTCTCTCAATGTATTTTCTACATGAATATATCTATAGATGTCAGGGGATGCACGGCCCATAAAGCCCTTTTGAAGCTGTGCATCAGTGGGAATCTGTGGCTTATGTCTGAACACTTGTTTTTAATGAAGCAAAGATAGATCAATGTTCATTGGACAAAAGGCTCAAAACATTATTAGACATTGGGCTTTCAGTCAATG